GGGTATATTCCCAGTAGTGGAATTGCTGGGTCAAGTGGTATCTCTATTTGCAACTTTCTGAGAAAGCGCCACACCGCTTTCCACAGTGGTTGCACCATTTACAAGTTAGTTTCTTACATAATTTTTCTGGTGAATATTTTCAGTAATTTCTCCAGGTTTTCAGTTAGAGAAGGTATAAACTTAATGGTGAGATTTTTAGTATACATTTAAATTTTAGCAAAAATATAGGAAAGAATGTGTTCCTGTCTTCTCAGCTGAGATTATAGAAACTATTAAGAAACACCAACTAAAAACTCAAGTTGCTAGAAATCCTAGGGAGCACCTAGGGTTTTTAGTTTCTTATCTGAAGAAAAGGAGAACTTGGTTGTCCTAATCTGGTCCATAATTTTCAAGGCCATTCCTGTAGAAGCTTTTTCAAGTTCTTATGGATTCTCACATTCTGTGTCACTATCTGCCTAAGATATATTAGGATCGCCCTAGTTATTAAAACTATACAGAGATGAAAACTCAAAGTTTTTAAAGGAGTCAAGTTTATACTTTTGTTTTAGATACTACAGCTCCCTCTTTTTTTCTTTTGTGGAGGAGGATGATCATTATCCCTTGCTAATCCCAGGATAATCTGCCTCAAAGGACACAAAAAAAGCTCAAGTCTAGGCCAACAACTGGATGTTAGGATGTCTTTGCACTGAAACGACTTTGCAATTCTTTGCTATCCTGAACCTCGCTGTAGGCACAAAGCCAAATAAAACATACCAGCAACTGAAAGCTTTAAAGATGGCTAGAAAACAAAGCAGAACTAAAATCAGGTTAAAGAGAAGAAGGTTAGAACCTGCAGTAGGTCCAATACTATTTTGTGACTGAAAATAATGAAGATGAATATAGATCCCAGATTAGTGATTATCAGCTAGATAATATTGTTGTTATGTGCCCATCGAGTCGCCTGCGACTCATCATGACTCTATGTACAACAGCCCTAAACCCTGCTCTATTCTGTGCCAATCTTGTTGTCTCTGACACACCTATCCCCATTACCCCAGTGACTAAATCAATTCATCTCATTGAGGGTCTTCCTCTCCTGCACTGTCCCTCCACCCTCTCAAGCATGATGTCCCTCTCCAAGAACGAATCCCTCCTTGCAACATGTCCAAAGTATGTCAGACGAAGCTTCAGAATCCATGCCTACAAGGAGCAGTCTGGCTTCACCCTCTCCAGGAGGAACTTGCTTATTCGCCTAGCAGTCCACGGTATATTCAAGACTCTTCTCAAGCACCACAGCTCAAAGGCATCAACTCTCCTTCTATCATCTCTAGTCACTGTCCAGCTCTCTGATGTATAGCAAGTAACAACAAAGACCATGGCTTGTATCAGGTGCACCTTAGTCTCCAGACTGACAATGTTGCTCCTCAGTACCTTGGAGAGGTCTCTGACAGTGACTTTCCCAGTGCAATTAGTCTTTTAATTTCCTGGCTGCTGGTACCAACAGTGGGATTGTAGAGCCAAGAAAACTGAAGCTGTTGACAATCTCAATCTCTTCACCATCTATTATGATGCTACCAAATTGACCCAATGGTGAGAACCTTAAAAGATTTACAGGGGAAAATAAAGAATTCCAGATATGTTAAATGATTACCTAGCAAATACTTTAATTAAACACAAAACTGAGAAACAGAGCTCATATTTTGGCTAATTATTTGAAAACATGGCAATGGCAGGAGGCTGACAGTGTTATTTTAAATGAGAATGAATTCTGAGGGGTTAAAATAAAAGTGACCAATCTCAGTTCTTTCTATGATGGAAGACACGAAGGGCAGATCATTTTCCATTAGCAGAATGGATTGAAAGTTGATAAATCTAGGTTATATTATGAGAATGTTTAAACAAATTTCTACGTTTGTTGAGGATTGAACTTTGTTGTTATGTGCCAAGTCAACTTCAACTCATAGTGACCCTTTGTACAACAGCTCTGAACCCTCCTCTATCCTGTGCTAACCTCTCTGACACACCTATCCCCATTACCCCAGTCACTTTGTCAATCCATTTCATCTAGGGTCTTCCTCTCTTGTGCTGTCCCTTCACTCTTCCAAGCATGATGTCCCCCTCCAAGGACCCGTCCCTCCCTGAAACAGGCCCAAAGTATGTCACAGGGAGCCTCAAAATCCTTGCCTACAAGGAGTAGCCTGGTTTCACTGTCTCCAGGATGGATTGTTTGTTCTCTTAGCAGTCGATGGTATATTTAATACTCTTCTCCAGCACCACCTTCAAGGGCATTGATTCTTCTTCTATCATCCTTAGTCATTGTCCAGCTGTCTGATGCATTGCTAGAAACTGTGAAGACTATGGTCTGAATCAGGTTCACCTTAATCTCTAGACTGACATCACTGCTCTCCAGAGAATTGTCCCAGAGCTCTCTAATGTTCTGTTTTTCCTTCTAAAGGAAATGATATGAGGAGAGAAGTCAAAAGAAAACAAGAGTATAATCTTCAAAGTAGATTTCACTATAGTGCAATGACTGTAGTGAACGAAAGGGTTACAGGAAAAGATCTGGAGCCATCTTCTGGGTCTAGAGGACTGAGAGAAGCTCTATACTGAAAGCAAAAAAAATCATCATCACAGCAAACTTAATGCAACTCCATGGCATAGAATAGAAATGTCTCACAGGGTTTCTATAGCTGTAAATCTTTAACAGAAACAGGCTGCCACACATCTTTCTCCCACTAAGAGGATGATGAATATGAATACACTTTCCTATAGTCAAATGCTTTAGTCAGTAAGCAAACACGGCTGCTTCTATACATCAACGGGTATGCTAATTACCTGGAAATCAGTGTGATGTTGGTGTTTCTGTAGAGAATTTAAAAAGTTTCATGAAAGCTGAAAATAGCAAAATAAAATTTCAAGTACCAAATAAACAACTGTGCACTGTCAAGTTCAAACTGATGAATAGCTGATCCTCCAATGGGTTTTCAGAGGCAGTTTAATTGCATGGGAGGAAATAGCACATCTTCCTCCTCCAGAGTAGCTGGTAAGTTTGAACTACCTGCTTTTCAGTTGGAAGTGCAAAAATACTATGAACAGCAACAAAGCATCATCTGTTATAATGTTGGAAGATGTGATCCTCAAGTTGAAAGACAATTGAAACACAGCTGGGGAGGAGCTGCCTCCTCAACAGGGATTCTTTTTTAACACGTTGTCACACACTTTTAATTGACGACCGTGCTTAGAAACACATTCCCCCCTCCCCCCCATGTATTACCGTCATTTGCGGCAACATGTTAATGATATACTGCTGTGAAACTTTTACCCAATGAAGTACTTTAATTTGCTGATATGGCACAATACAAAATAGGGAGGGAAAGCTGCAATCATCCATTAATAACTAAGCAGGAAATGTATAGAGTATAAATATAGGAAAATTCAAAGTTGTGGAAAAGGAAATGAAATTCACAGAATGAAAATTCCTAGGTATTATTGAGCTGAAATGGACTTGTAGTGATCATTCTGAATTATATAATCATATGGTCTACTACGTCAAGTGTGACAAACTGAAAAGGAATGAGTTGCATCTGTTGTCAAAAAAACTCCAGCATCTAACAACAAGGAATGGAGTTGCATCTGTTGTCAAAAAAACTCCAGCATCTAATAACAAGGAATGGAGTTGCATCTGTTGTCAAAAAACTCCAGCATCTAACAACAGCAATAGCTAACTATAAGGTAGATGGTACCCAGAACAGAGAAGCGAGTGAGAAATACGCTAACTCTTCTAAAATGTGCCCTCTCCCCCTCAAAATATTTCTGAAAATGAAAACCATTAATGAAACAAATCTAACATTTTACAGAATGAATCCAAGGCCACGCCTGATTCTAGCAAACTCTGCCATACCATGCAACTACTAAAGTTAAAAAGAAGATGCTCATTTGCCAGGGGGCTGTTTCTGGACAATTGTTAATGACTGGTGGTGGGTTCAGCTGGAATTGTACAGGCTTGAGGTTTCACTTAATTGTAAGTTTTGGTTGTTTCCTCATCTTCCTCCACAAACATACAAAGATGTAAAAGTCCAAAGGTGGTTTGTTTGTTTTGTTTTGGGTTTTTTTAAAGTCTCTGTGCATTTTACACAGAGACTGCTTTTAAACTTTGAGTTGCCCTTACTATGGATATGCTGGCATAATCAGTTCCACAAATATCTGTGCAGTCACTATATCTGAATGGATAAAAGGTAGCCTCTTTTTCCTCACCTCTTATTTTAATAATTATACAACTCATTGCAAAGGAATTTATTTTGTCTCAAAAGTAGTTTATTTATAACATCTACATCCCATGG